GAAGCTTCCTAATGGCACAGATCCACAGATGAGTGAGCAATTATCAGAGATCTATCTCTATCTCACATAAACACACACACACACACACTCACACACTCACACACACACACCATATAAAAATGGCAGCCCCAGTCTGTTATGAGGAGTTGTACAGCTCCTAAAATTATAGCTACATTTTGTTCATATTTACATATGTATACATCTTTTAAATATAGATAGAAATATCTAAGACAATAGTCCACTGGGTTACAGTAAGAATGAGCACCATGACGGCAACACTGGCGAGTTTCTCGCTGCTTGGGGCCAAGAGGCGAGGCGAGCTGAGCTATGCTGAGCTATGCTGGGCTGGACTGAGCCAGGCCGGGTCATCTGCTTAGTAATACAGAGGAGTCCATCTTTGGCCGTTGTACTTCCGTTCTCCACAACTGGAAACAAAAAAAGGGAGATTGTTTTGTGAGTTCTTTATGATGAAACATACTTTTCTAAAAGGACAGCTGTACTATGGTCCAACTGAAGCAGTTTAAAGCTCACCTCAGCTTGCCCGTCTGCCACTGTTGCTGTCAGCTGCCTCAAACTCCAAGTCTTGCAGCTCCATGGCCTCCACGTTGACCCCTCGGGCCCCCGTGTGGGTGTCCATGGGCACATGTGGGTCCTGGAAGGCAGGCTCCGGGCCCTCCGTCCCTGATGGGCAGTGACTGTCTGTTGCAGTGTATCCTGGGTAAGAGGGAGCGTGGGGGCCCTGGTTGGACAAGGGAGCCGGGTGGACGGCGACAGTGACGGAGGCTGATGCCGTTACCGTGGTGATGGGTTGGCGATACGGGGTGGGGTTGGGGCGGTGGTGCGGGAGGTGGTGATTAGGCTGTGGGTTGTGGGAAGAGCGGGCTCTGTGGCCTGCTGAGTGTTCTCTATGGCCGTGTGAGCCATAATGGCCCCCAGCCTCAGTAGCAGTTTCAAAAGCGTCCATGCGTGGGCGGGCTGGGGGCGGGGCCTGCCAGTGCAGCTGGCTCTTGGGGTCCCTGCTGCTGTTACGGTGAGTGGTCCCAGGCTGGGGCCCAGAATCACAACCCTGAGAGGACTGGAGAGCAAATAAGATACAAGAGATAAGATATTTATTTCTATGATGTGACAAACGAGAACAAATAGATAATCATACATGCAACATGATGGGGGATATTCTCTTACCAAAGACACAGTATAGGTAGGAGGCTCAGGCTGTCTGGCTGAGCGCCTATGCCCCGACCCTGCTCGCCTATCCTCCTCTGTCCTGGCCGCTCTGCCCCTGCTGGCCTGGAGGCGGTACTGCTGCTCCTCCGCTCGAGTCTGTCCTCTGTGTGAGGGCAGGTTGTAGTTCTGCATCTCCTGGCTGATACCGGACGCTGTGGTGTTCGAGCTGTACTCCGAGTCCGACGAGTCTGAGGCTGCACCAGAGGTGGTGGTGGTGTGGTGAGGACGAACTGAGAAGTGGACCACGTGAGGAGGGGCCTCTGGGGACGGAGTGGGCAACTGGCTACGACCATCGACTGGAGTCACCTGGGAGGAGAAAAGAGAGGAGGTGAAGACGCAGCAGTGAGCATTTCACACTTTTGAATGAAACAAAATGCCACTTTTTGTAGTAAACTTTGATTCAATTTCCTTGCAGCTGTATTTTTGGCATCTTACCTCTGGATAGGGCCCAAAATATGACAGTAATACTGGAAGAAGGACCAGTCCATTCAGTACTCCAAGTACTGTTAGAATGGCCAACACTGCAAAGAAATACCTGCAACACACCAAAGGCACACATTAAAGTAGCTGAACATGAATCAACTTTAATCTTACGAATAGTCAAACTAAACGCAACAGGAGAAAAAACCCTGCATGCAAAACATATTTTTTTCCTCGCGCTTTAAGAAAAAAACATTTACTAAAAAGACAAGATATGCTTTTTAAATGGGGAAATATCATGACAGGAACAAAAAAATAAAAAAATAGAGCTGCCCAGGCCAACGCATACAGACAAGAAGCATAACAAAGCAGGCTAGAAAGAAAGAAAATACCTGTGCAAACCACAGAGGTTTAGACGTGGGGAGACATGTGCAAGATCAACCACTACACACGCCCGAAATAATACTTCCACAAAGACACCCGGACACTCCCCAAACACACATACACACATACACACATATACACCCCCCACAGACAGGCAGGCATGCACTGTGGTTTTGAGGAGCAAAACAGAAATGTACCTTGTGTGTTTCTAAGTCCTGCCAAAGAGGGTTAGTCTTTAAGAAGCCGCAGAGAGAGGAGAAAAGGGGAAGCATAATTAGCCAGAGCTGGTTAATTCAAAGGCACAGGAAGAAAGAAAAAAAAAGTGGGGTGGTGTTGGTGGGGGGAAAGAGGTGGGTATTGGGGGCGAGGGTACTCTCTCTTGGGTGTGTGGTGTATAAGCAAACATGGAGAAAACAATGCAGTGAGGAATGTGAAGGGAGGGTAAAATGGGGGGAGAGGTGGGAGAGGGGGACGTTGGGGGTGGTGGGGGGGGGGGCACAAGAGGACAGGGGCCTCTCTCTCCTCTTCGGCTCTAAAAAAGAGAGAGGAAGAAGCAAACAAATGAAGTGAAGGGTATAGAATTTAAACAATTTAGTCTAGGAAGAAGAGCAGGGGACCCTCAGAGCGCTACCCCTCCCCTGGTCTCTTTCTCTCCCACTCTTCTATTTATTTTTCTCTCTCCTCTCTGCCTCTCTCTCTCTCTCTCTCTCCCTTCTTTCCAGCTAAGCCCCTGTGAAATTCCCGGCCACTCCACAATCCCCTCCGTCTAATTAAATCTCCAATGTATCAGGTAAGACCCCCCAATCTCCCATCTGAATTCCCCTCTCTCTCTCTCTCTCTCTCTCTCTCTCTCTCTCTCTCTCTCTCTCCCCCCCCACAATCGAGCTGTCTTCATTAGAGAGGGCTTTCCTCCTCACTTGGTTGTCCAGTGAAAGCTCTCAGGTTATCAGGGACACACCGTTGAACCATGAGCCCCTTCGCCTGACTCTTGACTATGCAGTTTGTGTGTGTGTCTGTGTGTGTGTTAAGGTTTAAGTGGGCGAACTGAGGTGTAGATGCGCTGGTATGTGATGCAGCTGGGCCACACACTAAACGCACATTCATAACTAATCTGTGTGGGTGTTTATATCAATGTGTGTGTGTGTGTGTGTGTGTGCATGCAGAAAGGCAGGCATCGCACAGAGGAGCCACAAGTGAGGAGAGCTGTTTTTTGTCTACCCAGCATGGGTGGCCTCACCCTCACAATACGGTTACTCTGAGTCTGACTGTGAAACAGGATGGGAACTTAATAAATATGCAAAATCGTAGTTTGTCACTTCAGTTTACTCTGAAGTGACTCACAAAAGATGAAGACATTTCAGGATAATTACAAAAAAATAATTCTCTGAATCAGATCCGTGAATGCACAATAATCAACTACGTCTAGATGTTGTTGTGTTATACTTAAATGGATTCATATAGGTCAATGCACATTAAAGAAATGAATACGGTTAATGTAACCATGATAAAAAGAAGAGCAAAAATCTTTGGAACATTTTGGATGAAGTTTTTTTTGTTTGTTTTGAAAATGGTCACTCGTTAAGAAAGGTCAGATTTCACCACTGGGGTGTATTTCCTGCGTTATCTAATTAAAACTCCACCTTCTGGCATTGACAGTATGTCCTCCAATGGCAGTGAACTTATGCCCAAAGTTCATGTTCAACAACGTTTGGTAGTGATTGTGCTCTGAAAGCAAGCACCTATAACTTGACCTCTGACTTGGTCTCTGGCAAAGCTCTTCCCACACTATACAGTATTGAAAGCCCACCCAACCATCTGTCATCTACTTTATTAGATTATCAGAACTGTTTCTATAAGTGGAACTGAAATAACTGTGTCATCACCACGGTTAGCATGTCCATACACACCAGGAGGGGTGAACGCCACGTCACCGCTGGATACACATGTACGCACAGACATCTCCACATGCACGCGTGCAGCCCACATACCAGGCTGAGTGCCCTGCCGGGCTGTTTGGAGTGAAAACATTCACAGGGCTGAACGGGGAAAGCCAGGGAAACATTTCTTTCGGCGCAAGCAGAAAAATACGAGTCGGGCCTGTTGTTTTTGACCCGTCTTGGGGCGCTGCTTTGTTTGCTCAGACAACAGCAGAACCTTTAAATGGAGCCCGGGGACTGAGCCAGAAACCAGAGCACACCACTGGAGGTGAGGAGAGCAGGTCTATACGCCTCCCTGTGTTTGTGCGACTGTTTGTGTGTTCTCAGAGTGTGTATCTGTGTGTGCTTTCACTCGCAGGCATGCCATCATTGACCCCCATGATTACAAGGTCAGGGAGCAGGTTGGTGTGTGTGTGTGTGTGTGTGTGTGAGGGGGACTAAGGGTGATTGTGTGGGTGTGCATGCATCAGCGCAGGCCTGTGCACATGACAGAGTTTACGTGCTCGAAGATCACATGGACGCCAGTGCTCCCTTTTCTTAAAGGAAGCATGTCAACCAAATTATACAGCTACCTCAGCTCCTTTAACTCATTCAGTGAGCTCACTGGAAATTTATCATAATACTCCAGGCTCGAGAATGTACAGGATCATTAATTTTCCTCCCTTGTAGGGCGGCTCGTTGCTACCTTTCTGTCTGATGCTTACAAGAGCACGCGCACACAAAAGGAGCCACCGACGCAGAGCCCCCACAGTGTGTCGGTTTTAATTTCCACTTCTCCTGTCTTTCCACAACTGCCCTCTTGCCCCTCAACCCGTAACTCCTTCCCATGCTAATAAATGTCTAGCGAGGGCCGTTAAACTAGCTGGAGGAGATTACAAAGGCCAGAAGACTTTCCTGCTCTCTCTCTCTCTCTTTCACTACATTTCCATCTGCTTCCCCATCAACTCCCTCCTGGCCCCCCTCCTCTTCCTTCTTTTGACCTTGAACTCTCCATCTTTGCCCTGGTTTCCCTTAAAATGTCAGGCATGAGAAACACTAAAGGGGAGAGGAGGAGGATGAAAGAAAAAACACAAGGGGAGAGGAGGGGGATGAAAGAAAAAACACAAGGGGAGAGGAGGGGGGAGAAAGATAAACGCCTTGTTTATGTCATTTCTTGGAGAGCAAGTTGGAGAGCAAGAAATCGGCAAAAAAAGCACTGGTAGCTGTAAAAGGGATGAGGTTTACAGACAGGGAATATGAAAGGGAGATGCGGGTGGAAGATGAAAAAGAGACCGACAGAGGGAACGGTAGAAGAAAGCGAAGAGCCTTCATGCATGATTGGTGGCTCAGGTAGATTCCTGTGTCACATACAGGTTGAGGCCTGGTCTCAACGGTCTACTGACGCCACACAGACACCGTACGGTAACCTTTGTAGGTGCTCATACATTCGGCTCAATGAATGTAACATTTTTTTCACAAGGTTTGCCATTTAAACTCACCTGACAATAAAGTCGAACTCAGAGCCAGCGAGCATTAGGACACCTAATAAGGTGGAGAAGGCTCCATCGAGCACCGGAGCAAACATGTGCTCCAATGCCAGCACCGCCCGCCTGTGACGATCCCCTATAGCTGTTAGAAACGCCTACAACACACACACACACACACACACACACACACACACGCGCACACACACACAAAGAGAATTTACGTCAAGAGGATCAAAACCAATCAAGAAAAAAAAACTTTTTTGTTGTTATTGACAAACTGAGGACTTAAATCTTTGAAATCATATATTGTTCTTTGTGTCATGTCTACATGCCAGGGCTACATGGACGGTGAACTCCACTCCAATGCCCACAGAGGCGATGAGAATGACCACAGGGACAGCACTCAGCTTGATTCCCATCAGCCCCATGAAGCCAAACAGCTCCACAGTCATGAGAGAAAGCACCAACACCTGAAGAGAGAAGGATGAGCTTCCGTTAGACAGGAAGGTGGTTGATAAAGCGTCTTTGAGTACCTTTTAAAGTGCTATACAAATAAAATGTATTATTATTATTATAAATATATATATATATATATATATATATATATGCATATTTATACATTTAATCAAACACAGGACAGGACATAAATAAGTTAAAAATACACATATTTCTTTTCATAAGTTGATGTGTAATAACCAATCTGTGTACACATTTTATGTTCCTAAACTTCTCTGTCTTCTTTTGGAGGAAATTCAAATGCTTTCTGTAAGTTCTTTAATGTCACACATTTATTTTTCTCTTTTGTGTTTTGAGTCCAAAATATACCTTTTATCCAAAGGGGTACGAACATGCCAATCAATTCATTATCATAATGCACATTTTCCAGGTGACAGACATGAAAAGTGCATCAAATGACCATAAATGGAAAAAATATGGCAAAATATGTGTGTGTGTGTGTGTGTGTGTGAGTGTAGAGGCTTCAGTGAAAAGCGGGACAGGAGCTGGGAGTAAATGCCATTATCAGCTGACAGGCGTCAGGTTACATGGGGCCCAAATCCTTTGAAGAGGGCTGAGGTGGGCAGGGGAGGGAGCTGTGTGTATGTGTGTGAGTACATATACAGTGAGCGAGCACAGAGTATGTGTCCAGCAGTGTGTATGTGTGTGTCGGGCTCTGTTGACACTTAAGATCTTGCAAGTGGAGAGCAATATTGAATAAAGTATTTGGACTATTGTATTATTTTAAGATCTTAGTTGACTTAGTTCTTTTAAATATCACACGGCAGACTCAGGCACTATTTTAAAGTCTCTACTTGTGTTTTCTTTTTCTTTTATGTCACAGTTTTCCCACAGATAAAATGCAAATCCAGAACAAAACAAGATCACAAGTGATCACTCCAGATGCGGTGGTCTATTCAAGTGTGAACAGCAATCAGCATCAAGTGAATTAGAAACATCTGTATATATCAAAACACAAGACCCAATGTTTAAAACAGGCCTGTCTCTGTGCTTGAGATGGATTTCTGGGCAAATAGCTAAGAGGGTTTGACGTTGTAGGGCTGGCGGTGGTCTGGTCCTGGACAGAGCAAATGGTTAAACTTGATGCCTATCCATAACTTGTCTTTTGATCTTGCTAGTAAAGCCTGAAGGATGAACATGAGGTCTCCCACTCCCCTGTTTAAGGCCTGGCTACTGCCTGCCATAAAATACAACCCACCAGAGAGAAAGACCAGAGCGCTCTGTGCATGTGTCTGTGTGAATTATGTACCTGCATTTTTACGCGTTCATACTGCATGTGCGCAAGTATATACATGTCTGCGTGTGTGCTTGAAGTGTGTGTCTGTGAGCCTGCGTATGTGAATGAGTGTTTGCGCGTAACCGTTGAAGCTCTTCTAGCGAGAGGAGGGGGAGCGTAGGAGTGCGGAGGATGGAAATAAAATCTACGTTTTTATAGGTTTAGAGTGGGAGCAAGTTGTCTGAGCGACTTTGTGTTCTCTCCCCATTTATCTGAGCGTTGGTGTCCGGGAGTGTTGGACTAGACTAAATAGACGGCCCCTAACAAAACAGCACAAGATAAACACTGGTGACTGAGGCTACAATAACACACACGTCTTCTTTTTGACTCCGTCCTCTCTTAGATGCCTTCTGGACCGCACATTAAAAAAAAAACAGGAATTAAATGCTGGGGAAGAGTAAAGGCGAAGTAATACGCTCATCAAACGTAGGTCACAAAGAGTGAACAGGTACAGGTTTTTTTCGACCATTATCAACCATTTATGCACGTCTGTTTTTTTTCCCACCACTCACTATGATGCCGGCGGTCCACGGGTTGAGCAGGAAGAGGGCACAGACCAGAAAGGTGCAGGCGAGCACGACACTGATGGACAGCAGGAGCCAGTGGCGCAGACTAACATACTGTTCCCAGAACAGGAAAGGGTAGCCATTGGGGTAGGAGGGCAGGCTTTGTCGGCTGTAGTTGCTGCAGATAGCCCGCACGCTCTCGATGGCCTCCACAAACTGCGGCGTCTCCCGGAGCCCGTTGAGGTAGAAGGGGAACTGTGCGTATTCGATTGGCTCAGCAGCCGGGACTGGATGGAGAGACAATGAGAGGAAGGTCGATTAGTTAGAAGAAAAAAAGGAAGATAACTTGATCTTTATTTAGCACCACATCATTTTATTAGACGCCATGCAGCAATTGAGGATGGATTTGCACTTCGGGGCCTTGGAAGCAGAAGCCACAGAGCCTTGCATGATGATGACATTTTAAATTCAGAGAAATTTATTATTTCGGGACATGGATTACATATGTAGATGATAGTTTATCAATTCTTATTAACAAGCATTAGGTTCTGATCATTTAGTGCATCTGCAGAAATAATTTTACACTCTTCAGCCAAACCACCAATATCAAGGCTTTCCCTCCCTAATCCAACCTTGTTCCAAGAGCAGCTACATCTGTGGCCAAGTGTTTGTGTGTGTGTGTGTGTGTGTGTGTGTGTGTGTGTGTGTGTGCGTGTGTGGTGGGCAGAGCAGCCTGAAACAGAGCTCCATTGACTCAAACCCAGCCAGTCTGTGGCCCAGCCTGGCTAATGAGGACCTATCAGTTCCAGACACAGCAGAGTGTCAGAGCTAACTGTGATTCACGGTAATTACAATGTCAGAACCACCACCATTACCACACCCCAAACGTTGCGCTGCCGCATAAAGCATAATGTTGATGCATGAACACGCGTACCTGCCTGTCACTCTGCTATGAAGTCATATTTGGTGCTGACAAAATGTTGTGTTCATTCAGACTTTTGCATGCGGTGTAATTAACAACACATTGCTGCATATGGAAGATTCCACATCTATTTCGAGTGTGAATATTCCACAGTGCCTGCAGGTTGTCAGACAGGAGCACTTGCTTACATGGTTTGGCACGTTATAATCTCAACTATAAATTTCCATCAGGACACCAGTTGGCTTTTGGCCAACACAGATCTGCTCCGGGGGGCTCCTGCACAGCCAAGCACTTCACGCTGCTGCTGCTTATCCAATCATATTCCCCCCCCCCCCCCCCCCCGCAAAGGACTTCCTGCTTGTTATCCAATTGTGCTTCCCACCTAAACCAAGTCTGTCCTTGTTATCCAATCATTTTCCTCCCCCGTGGAGCACTTCCTGACTTGCACCAAATCACAGGCTAGAATCAAACAACAACATGACTGTACTTTTGTGAGTTACAGTCTGTGTGTGTGGCAGGGAAATGAGAATAGGGTGTGTGTAGTGTTTGGGGTCACTGAGTTTTAATAATGTGTGTGTGTGTGTGTTTGTGTGTGTGTAATGCTAGGGCCCCATGGTAGCCAGGATTATAGCATTCACCACAGGCACCATTAGAAGAACCACAGTGAGCCGTGTCTTGGTCCTCAGCCTTGCAACCTGAGCTCACACATACACAAATGCACACACACCGCAGTGGTACTGTAAAGTCTACTACCTCACTTAAAGCTAAGAGGCAGACAAGGAGCAATAACTCAAACCACAAGAGGTAAACACTGCTCGCATGTAGCAGCCGCCTTATGGAACCTAAAAAAAGACGCAGGCGAGACCAATGAGCCCCACAAAAAGTTGCCTTGAAATTTCAGTAAATGCAATTTGTTCAATTGCACCGTGCAGCAGGTATGAACTTTATCATTTCAAATTAGCCTCATTTGTTGGAGCAATTATTATTACTATTATTGACATTTCCTTCCTTAGGTCAAAGCAAAACTTCATTCCATTACACTATAAAGCTTCCTGGTTTTAACTCTAGCATATTTTGCGGATATGCTGACTTACTGCTGAGGCGTGTCTCGGGCATGGAGTCGGTACGGTCGTGGAACCACTCAGGAGGGTGCGGGCGAATGTTGGCCTGCGAGGCAGCGTACGCCACAGGATCATTGCTGACCCAGGCGGTCAGGTAGATGTAGAAAGCCGCGGGGTTGATGATCCCATCTGCATCCACAAGCCTCTGACGAGTCAGCTACAAAACCCAGAACGGAGATGAATTAACGATGGTAACATAATTACTAATGTAGACAAAAAGTTTTCTTCTGCTGTGTTCTCTTAAAACATTCAAACACATACTTGCATGCATCTAAATTAAATGGGTATAATAATACATAGGCTGAGCCACATTTTAAAATTTTTAAATGGAATAATTAGCAAATGGAATCAGTGCAATAAAGGTGAAAAAGAAATTAGGTGGAGCATGCATATTGCCGCCATTATGTATACATTGGACACAAAAAGGTATTGTGGAAATAAGACATGTTTAACCAAAACATTTTACAGGTGAGCTGACCACAGAAATGCTTACTTATACACATGCATGAGTGCAAGAGAACGGACCAGCTTTCAAAATAAGAGTCAAATATTAGTCCCTCTCTCTTTCCAACCAAAGAAAAATCAACAAGTCAAACACTGGTCGCCTTTCTTAGAATTCCCGTAATTCTCATCACGGCTTCCCAGAATTATCATGCCACATTAAAACATGGAAAACGTTGAATCAGCTTCTCCCTTTACATACAGTAGATATTGGCTGGCCAACCTCAGGCCCAATGTCCTGACCACTCTGAATACATTTCTGATGGAAGCCTTGCAGCAATTTTCTGTCAGGAAGCAGCTGTGGAAGACGAATGTTCTACCAAGTATTAATTCTAATAGTGGCAAATGCACCAGTACATTGATATATGTTGAATTAGACAAGCTCTAATCTGGCATTCTGGTTCCTCTACCTGTTGCTCAAGAGCCCCGGCTGCCGGCCGAAACAGCCGAAAAATAATTTAAGTCCAGATGGATACTTTATTATATACATTTCTGATTCTAATACAATACTTTTGTTTAAGTTGCGATTTTTGCTATGCGTGTATATTAAAAAAAAAGGTGATACTAATGCTTCTGAATTACAAGTCAAAAATAGGCCTGTTTTTGAATATCGACAGCTATAGCTGTGTGCTAAAATGCTAATTCCCCTTTACAATAATTCACTGCATGTTAATCAGAAACACAAACTCATTCAAAAACGCACTTATTAAGGTCAGCGTATATAAAGGAATAGTAGCTGGCTACTCCATAGGCTTGTGGAAAGCCCTGGTTTCTTAAAGGCTATATTATGTTGGGTGAAATAAATGTGTTTCTCGGCAGCTCTATGGATGCAATGTCCATATAATACTGTATATCTGACTACTAGATACATTGCCATGACATTTATGGTGCTAAGACAATGAATCGTAATGACTTTGGTGACTTTTCTTCTCATGCCACATTTACACATTGTAGTTAATGTTACTCTCAGTCTTAGAAACCAGAGCCGGGTGATAAAAAGTCTCTGTAAGCCGTGAGCTAACCTCCTGACATCCAGCCACTATGAATCAGACCAAACCCACACAGAGCGTTTCTGTCTGGTTGCTGATTGTTCCCAAGCTGTTTCAGTCTGTGTCACTTGCTGTGACGGCTGCGGTCAGTAGGTAGACAAGAATGGCTGTCTCGCTCAGAGCCATTACTTTTCTTCCTTCCCCTGTGGAACCAGAGGAGTGTAGCCTAGCACTGCTACCTCCTGAGAGGTAAAACCATTACTGCACACCGCTCTGCCACTCTCCTTTCTAGGAACCATAAATCCCTCCTTCACTGAGGCAGGGAGAGTTTTGGGGGTAAAGCTGGACTCATGGGGTTAGGTGGATAAAGAAAGGAGGAGTTTTTTTTTTTGGTGATGGGTTGGAGGGTGAGGAGAGAAAAATTGCTTGAGTTAGCGTAACAATAAAAAAAATTGGCTGGAGTCCCTGAGCGCATCTGTGTGCAGTTAACCTGGTTGTTAACACTGAAGGAAATGCCACCCAGCAAATGGAGTAGAGCTATAAAAATAACACAACATCTGTACAAATGTTGCTCACACTTGCTTCCCCTGACCCCTACGGGTACCCAGAATGCCCAGCGCCGCCGACCAACCCGGTCCTGAGAAGAAAAGTGCTGTTTCCTCCTCCCCCTACTCTTTATACCGACCCCCCCCTCTCCAAGCTTTGTCTTCATATGGCCTTATATTCAAACCACACACAAACACATATACAGACAGCAAGCTACAATATGGCTCCCAGACAAGGCCATAAGGAATGAATGGTCGCCCCAGCACAGAGGGAAATGTTAGCAGCAGCAGATCAAAGCCAGAACACCTTCTGCACAGATCCATGGAGTGGCATATCAAAATAAAACATCTAGCTTTGCAATTTGCCAGGGTTGGAAAAGATCTGGTACTCATTTTGAAACACACACACCAAAAAAAAGCAGCTACTGCTGTAAGTGCACGCACAACAGACAAAAGCAGAACACACACTCAAAACATACAAATGCACACACAGAGCTGCCTCAAAGAAACCACGTGTTTCAGCTCCCCTCATTGAAAGAGGACACAGCAGTGGAGCGCTGAGGGAGGGAAAAGGGAGGGAGGAAGGGACGGAGAGAGAGAGAGAGAGGTAGTGCGAGCACAGGAGTTAGTGTAGGAGGGGGGGGGGGGACAAGAATGAGAGCCGGATTCCAGAGGATCTGGATTGAATTTAACAGCGGGATACGCAACAACTGTATGTCTTCAAGCTGTCACAGGAAGCCCAGGCAGCTCTGCTGGCGGCCCCAATGCCTCACGGCAAATACACTTCCCTCACAGGCACAGGAAGTGATGTCACAGGGCCGCACACCAGGATTTGCCTCTGCTTCCTGCAGGTTAGTGGAAGTGGAAGGGATTGGGAGTGTGGTATGCTGCTGCGATGGAGCTCAATGGGTAAGAGAAAAAGCAAGAAAGAAACGGCTAAGAGTAGAGGGGGGGGGGGCTTTAATACTGTAGACATGCACGACGTCTACACAGACTCACACACAAATCATGTAAATAAATAAAAAGACACAGCGGAGCTATTTGTCAAAGTTAATTATCTTTTGAGGGAAATGATCTCAGTGTTGAAAAGGACCTGGCTTGTTTTGTGTTTGGAGTTTTGATAAATCCTGGCCAAGAATTTTGTTTTTATATTTCCCCAGTTCCTTATCTTGTTTTGTGCTGTTTCTTGCCAAGGAATGCAGCCATGCATCCATGTGTGTTGTTTTTTTTGGAGGTGGCACTAAACTAAAAACAGAGTGCAGTGCCCCACTGAGGCTTCCTCTGGACCTCCTTCTAAGGCCTTAGCTGCTCCCTAACTTGACTTGTGCCATTGTTGGATGTCAAACACCCCTCTAGTTGCACACTGGAGACCGGGCTCATTTCACCAGCTGAGCTGGAGTTTTTCAGGAGATTATGATAACTGTGTGTACAGTAGTGATGAAATCTGGGTGCTTTTCAACCCCAAAAGTGCTGCAGTGAAAACACTGGACAGCAAAAATGTTGATTTCCAAAACTTAGTTCGAAAATAACTAAAATAAGTTTTTTTTAAAATAGATTACTTTGTACGATGAACTCATTTATCTGCATAGTGAGGCCAAGAAGCTCAATTTATCATTTGTCAAAAATATGCAACAAATGCAAATATTTTTTTTGAAATCCATTCAGTTCCATTTTGACAAAATTATTCGTCTTTACCACGGGACTGAAAAATCCAGGCAAATTATTTAGAGCGCCGTTGAGGCCTGCATGACTTTCTACATTGTGCACCGATTTCTTTCAGCCTTCCGACTTCTCACACTATGAACTGTGTCTGGAATCACTAACAAACTCAAAAGGCTTGATGCTAAGGGAAGACATCTCACTGTCAAGGCGCTGCACACGCACACACAGAACCACAGAGTGTGACAAATGGTTTTAAATGAAGAGTTAATAGGTTTTTCAGAGGCAGGCTGCAGCCCCAGTGAGAGCTTTAAATTCCTGGGCTCGGTAAAGTCATCACAGAGAAGATGAAGACAGACACAGGGAGAAAGGGAAAAAAAAGACGGGATGGAGAGAGACAGTCTTTAAGCCGGGTGTGGCTCTTCCAGCCCCAATTCCATTGGACAAAACACACAAATATACATGCACACAGAAAAAGAGGAAAGCAGATTTAACACCGGTGTCGGTATCCTCAGATCGCAGTCCTTGTAAAACAGTTCAATCACTTTTAATGGTGTGAATAACTAGACATACCAGGTTGAAGTTGATGGGCGTCCTGCGTCCTGTCTGCACCAACAGCTTGTATGCAAGAACGCCGTCATCGGAGCCATTCCTGTAGCTGTTGAAGGTGATGCGGCCGGCCTCCCAGTCCTTCTCAAATGCCTGCTGGAGACCTGCATGAAACCACAACAAAACAGATTGGTTAGATGCGGATGTTTGGAAAGGTTACATGCCCTATTATCTTCATTCTTCCTCTGCAACACACTCATAAAGCTAAGTTCAAAAGGAAAACAACACACAACAACCCAGCGCAGCACAAGGCAATATAACACAACACTGCAACCTAACCCTATAATAAGCCTGATTGATTTAATATAGTAACTTGGTTCCATTCTCAACCACCAAACAAGACTTCAAAAGCCTAAAAAAATGCTGCTTTTGATTCAGAGCCATCATTAGGGAATATATCAGTAACACATGTCTCCTTTTCTATACTACTCTCTAATCCATATGTGCATCACTCTCCCCCTCTCGGCTCTCCCCCAAGGCTCATGCTGTGGTCCGTCTGTGGGAGATGTTGTTTTGGGTCTCGTTCCGTGGCCTGTCTGGCTCCAATTTGTCCCACCATTGCAGAGAGCAATATCAGACACAGTTCTCTCTCTTTCTCTCTCACCCGCACACTCTCTGTGTGGTTCCCCTCCGGCTCAAACACACACACACACACACACACAGACTCACACAATGTGGTTTATCGTTACGGGGCAAGTCAGCGCTTCCTCGCTGAAAATGAAGCCATTCCCGGGTTTGGGCTGACATGTGAAAGATGATATTCTTGTCCTTTACAATTCTTAGGAGCTGTCAGTGGGATAAGGGGAATACAACAAGCAACCCATCTAAAGGTGAATCCTGCCATCCTACTGAATGAATTCAGGGTCCCATAAAATTAAAAGTGTGGCGTACTGCTTGTTTTATGCCAAGTATTTCAGATTATTTATGAATAGATTATAAAGAAAAATGACAAAAGCTAGTAGGAGCAGTGCTAATATGAGTTGGATGAGTGAGTACGAGTGTCAGTTTGCGCTGCCGACATCATCTTTACTGCCAAAGGTTCTCACATTCTGTATATTGCCTGAGGCCAAGTCTAAAATATGGCCTCCCACTTCGTCCTCCTCCGTCAACCCCACTCTAGGATGACACAAACGATTTTAATCAGGCTACTGTCAGTGTCCATTTTGAAATCCCGCCTACATCTGAACTCCTGCCCAACATCTTGTTTCCTGCAGATTCATGTCAAAACACAGAAGAAAACTATGATCTCAAGACTGTTTCATGAGTAAATCATTACCATGCCTGAACTAACTTGAATAGGGATGTTAAACGAGGCATTAATAACAAAATCATCTGTAACATCAGTATTAGGGTAAAATATAACAACGAATCATACTGCTACATCAGACCCAAAGAGAGTTCTTTCCTTGGTGTGACTGAATCCACTTTTGGTCTGGTTGGGATGGTAATTATCAAGCTTAACTTTACCTTGCAGCCAGTCCCTGAAGTAGTGAAGCCACATGCGGGGCAGCTGCCCGTTGTCCTCCTTCAGCACGTAGCGAACAGTGTGGAACCTCTGGTGGAGCTGGTACAGCAGAGGCTGTTTCTGGGCGTAATCGGCCCGCTGCGTCACCACGTACATGTTGTAGAAGGAGAAGAACTTGAACTGGGCACCGATGAAGTCGTACTCGCTGGTCTCTCTGGGCACGATGTCCGTCAACTCCAGGCCATCCCTCACCTGGGTGGTCCCGTAGAGACTGACTCCCAGCAGGCAGAGGAACAGCACAATCACCACCACCTGGAAACAGAAGGACCGAAGAAGATCATCATCAATCAATTCACTGCACAGAGCGATGGCAGGACAGATTCAGCTTACACTAATTACTGCTTAAACCATGTTGCATATTCTGAATGAGTGAAGAGCAAAGTTGTGGATACTGTGCATATTCTAAGGTGGATGTTAGCAATATATTCCAAAGGCCCACAAAGGTTACCATATGAAAAGAAAAAAGAAAGCATGCAATAGCACGGAGCAAAGCACTTATAATAAATTAACAACAGTCACATTGCTAAAATATCCCTGACATGGCAAGAAACACAAGCAGTCAGATGATTGGAGAGATTCTAAATAACCCCAAGGTACGCCAAAGACAAACAAAAATTACTATTCTGCTTTAAAATGTAGGCACACCATTTCGTTGCAGCAGATTAGCCATGACGGCCAAAAATAGGCAAATAAGAACAGAATTTTACTTTAAGTCATTCAGCAATAAGGGGATTCAGCGATTAAGGCATCAGAGGACTGCATGAAGCAATTTGGCAATATGGTGAAACATCTGACAGTGTGATGAAAATTTTTCTAATAATGTCAAGTACAGGCCACCAGATGATTTGAGCTCTGGAAGGCTTTCATATGACTGGCCACCCACTAGACTGAGGTCAGACTGTGTGTGTGTGTGTGTGTGTGTGTGCTTGTATGTGACTCAGATGTGAGCACAAACTCCAGCCCAGATTTCCTCCTACTATTCACTCTGGTGACTAATCCTCCCTTTCAAATTATCACCACGGCAAGTCAGCGCAAACACTATTTCACCTCACACAGAAGACCCCCCCCCCCCCCATCTATCTCTACCTCCTTTTCTACAGAAACACACACACAGAGATGCTGAACTCACCTTGGTGGTGGGCTGCAGAAGGAACGGTGCATAGTGCCTCTCTGCAAAAGAGGACAGGGTCCAGCGGGAACAGGATGGCCCAAGGCAGCGCAGGCCCAACGAGCCCTCTCCGTACTGGGACAGCAGGTCCCGTGTGGAGCTGTTGTTCTCTGGGCCCTGGCCAGTCGAATCCCCCTGAGGAGCTGAGCTGGCACTTAAAGTCGGGGCAGCAGGAGGAGGAGGAGGAGGAGGAGGAGGAGGAGCAGGGTGGTGATGGGAGAAGGTGGCAGAACCTCGAGATCCCCCGTTACTTCGGCTCCCGCTGCTGTTGTTGTTGTTATTGCCGTGATTGCTGCTGCTGCTCCTGCTGCCGCTGGCGTTGCTGCTGTAATAGTCGTTGTTGGGGTTGCTCCTCGTCGGAGCTGGGTTCATGGGCTGCACGGAGATCTGGGACCTGGGCTCAGCCGTGGTGTAGAAGGCCTGAGTCCGGGGGTCGTACTCCGTCCTGAGCTGCACTGTGGACTGCATGGTAATTTGGGTCTGCTGGGCAAAGCCGTGGCTGCTGTAGGAGGGAGGGGGGCTGCTGTAGCTCGGCGGAGGCGTGCGATATGAGGGAGGAGGGGTACAATAGGACGGGGGAGGGCTGCAGGGACTCCCGTCAGCACCATCCAGGTACGCATGGGGCTCGATCTGGATCACACGATTGGCACATGGGCTGAAGAGATAACGACAGTGGGAAAATGTCAGACCATGGACTACTATATGTAGGGACTAAACAAGGGACATTCTTTACATATCAACATCATCCTATTTAATGAAATGGTTTCTAACATTAAAACTTTCATAGTTATGTTATTCTATAATAGTGTGCGGAAAAAAATGTTAATTTCTAAGATTAACTGCATTAAATCTGTTAAAAGTCTCTTATCTGCACATATTTTAATTAAACGTCTCTTTTTCTGCCAACAGCATGAAATATAGGGCTGAGACCCAACAAGGGAATTTAATAGTGTGTTTGCAGATCCATATGATCGCTGTGCCAACAAGCATGCCCAGACTGGCAGAGCGGTTCAGTTTAATAAAGACTGTGACAGATAAACACAGTGAAACAACCAAGCAGCCAGACAGAAACCGACAACTTAAGCAGTAATTAGGCTGTGACTGAGGGGGGATTAAGGTGAAGATAACTCAGAGATAACGTTGTGTTAGAGTTATTCATCGACGGATCACAGATCAGAGGAAACCATAAGAGGGAGAATTAATGAACAGGAGAGCAATTTCATCGTCATCAGACATGAAAGAATCTGTGCACACACACACCTGTAGAAGCAGCAGAAAATGTCGAACCGCCTGTCTTCGCGTCGGTAGAGGTCCATGCTGAGGATGGCGGGGAAGATGAGCAGCACCATGGCAAAGTTGAACACCACCACCACTGCAGCCTGCAAGAGACAGGGGAAACATTATGTTAGTTTTATAAAAAAAAAAGAAGAAAGAAAAAGGATTAGTAATTTGTATACAGTTGAGAAGGTGATACACGGAGCAGAAAGTTGTGGTGGGATGAAGTCTAAATCAAGACAAAAACACAGTGTGCAGAGAAAAAGCGAGGCTTGTGTGAGTGTAATAGAAGCCAGTGGAGTGTTGTGGTTAAGTATTTGAAGGTGGTGCACTGGAGCAGAGGGTGGGGGTTGGGGTTAGGTTGGGGCCCTGCCCAGAGTACAATCTGGATCTTGCGTAGTTGCCAGACCACTACTTGCACGCGCACACACACACATGCACACAATCCCGTGTGTGTGCCAGACCACCCAAGGAGCCGGAGGCCCGCAGGGCCTGAGGTGATGAGCAGGCGCTGCGGCTGTACAGACAACACACACCCCTTACACACACACACACACACACACACACACACGTATCTACTGCCATCTTCTGCCTCCTACTTAAACCACACCTTAACACCAACCAGACACAGACACACACACACACACACACACACACACATCATTGCCCTCCCTCATTCCTCAGCTCACAACTCAGTCAACAAGAGAGAGAAATAATGTGAGAGAACGAAGCTTCTGTAAGTAGAGTAGAACAATGAATTCTCAATTGGCCAGACAGATACAGTAAGACTCCACTCACAATCACACGCACAAACACAGTGACCGCTGGCTGACCCGTGAGTGGGGAGATGTTTCATCACATCTGTCCTCGGCGCACGAATATGTGTGAGTTCCTGTGTGTGTTTCGTGTTGTTATCTGGACACGATTCCACTTTTTTTTTCTTCATACTGATGGAAAGAAGCGAATGAGAGACATAACGGAGGGGAAGAGAGAGAGAGATGAATCCACGGAGGAGTCGACCACAGGAAGTGCTTGATGTTGATAAAGAGACGCACACGCACATACTCACACACATCTCTACGAGGCTGAGAGATGACTACCACTGATTGCGGTTGTGAAGTGTATGTGTTTGTGTGTGTTCCATAATAAAAGATGGGTATCAGCATGATTGTCTGCCTCACTGCAAGTCTGCCCTCCACCAGTTACAAAACCACAAGTGTAAAGTATGCATGCTATGTGCATCTGTGTATGTGTTATGCATGTGTGTGTGTGTGTGTGTGCCTGTCTCCAAGTGTGTGTATTTGTGTGCATAAAAGGAGGCGGCATGGATTACACCCATGGGGTAAATGGATCATGTTTGACAGACTCGCTGTACTTAAGCCATCTATCCACACATGCTAATATTGTACTCACTGTGGCGACATCTTGCCTCACTTTGTGTGTGTGTGTGTGTGTGTGTGTGTGAGAAAGAGAGCTAGAGAAAGTAGGACGGGGGTGGTGTATGCAGTACTTAAAGCACAATTTTACCTAACTGCAAATACTTGCATACATGAATTAATCAACACTACTCATTCATACCTCCCTTTCTCAAAAGTTGCAGAAATCGTCTATTGAATGCTTTTGATGTGCACGTTTGTTTGACCGATATGTTTCTTGAAGATTTGATTTTGTATTTCAGCTGCTGGTACCTAAAAAACTTTGCAAGCTTCCAATGTTTTCCCCCAGAAGGTAATTAGCCAACCGGAACATAAAGCCTCTGAAATTGGACTTAACATAAATGATAAGGTTTTGCATCACACTTAGGGATTATTGGAGGCATCTTGTCCTGATTTTCACTGATCTGGTGAGGTCTATAATTACTGACAGATGTTAGAGAAGTCAGAGCTCCCCTCTGGATCCCCCCCACCTTTACACACACACACACACACACACACACACACACACACACACACACACA